CTCTAGCCCGGGCAACAGAGTGAGACTCTGTCTCAAAAAAAAAAAAAAGAAATATTTTATTTGTACCTTCACATGAAGCTTTGCAACCCTAAAAATCTAAACCACGAGGTGAATTAATTTTTGTTCATTTTTTAATACTTCCAAAAACACCCTCCTTCAACTCAACTTCACCCTCCTCAACTTCATTCCTCACGGACAAAGTGAGGGTATCTTCCTCTGTTCGCACTATAAACAATGAATGAATAAAAGAGAATTTTACCTTCTTGAGACATTTTTGCCAGTTCTGGGACTTCAACATAAAAGTTTTTTCTGAATGGTTCATATTCTATTTTTCCATGATCAACTGGTTCTAGAAGTTTTCTCTGTTTTGTCTGATAACCTGTAAGGGCCGTCTGAAGATCAACTTCCTCCTCCTCTGAAGAATACTATAGTTTGAAAAAAAAAACAAAAAACAAAAAACAAAAAACAAGAGTTGATTCCATTACTACTTTCCCCTTAAGGGAAGCAATCCTCCAAGCTTTAAAAATCCTCCTCTCTTAGAAACTACTCCTTGGCTTTTAGATTTTACTTTCTAAAGCAGACTACTTGACACACACGAGATTTTCATGCTGCTCCAGCAAGCTTAAACCTTATAATTTCAAAATCACCTTAAACGATGTCTGTCCTTTTCAACAGAAACACATCAATCAGCTCCTGAAGAATTTTTCAACTTAATTTCCTTCTTCTTTGCCCTTGTAGAAAGTTATAATGCCAATAACAAGCTAAAATAATAATTCTCAGAGATGACTTAAATGAAATTTTGCTACTGTTCTCACTATATATAATCTTTACAACGTATGTTAATGGGAAGAAATTTAATTCATTCACTTCATTTCTTCTCGCCGTGTTGTGTACCTAAGGTGAGCTGATGAGGGGCAATGGAATCAAAAAACAGATATATAGCAAGGGGTGAAAGACGTCAGAATGCTCTACCAATTGGATAAATACAGTTACAAGACTATTATACTATAATATTAAGAATAGCAAGAATTCCTCCTAATAGTAGTTCGTGTAACTGAAAAGTATATCCCCATAAATGCTTTCTGTTAAATATTTCTAGGATAGTATCACAAACTCAAAATTAATGAAAAATCACCTCCATAGCATCCTGATCGTTCTCCATCAGCTCACCTTTCTTCTTATCAGCATCTACAACTGCTTTTTTCGTGGTTACAACAGTGACAACTTTTGTGACTGTTGGCCCAGACTTCTAAAATAAAAAAGGAACATGAAATGTTTTGCAATATTGAAACACAAATTATATGCCAACTGATGCACAATGATAACTGTCACAATTTACAATTCAAATTAACTTAATTATTAATGATAATTACTCAAAAGAAAAAAGTAATCTGCTTTTCTCCTTATTAATCTGTATAAACTTTAAAATGCAATATAATTACAAATTTTATAATACATTCATGTATAGC